TAGAGATAATGCCTCGGAAACCCTAGGAGGGGTTGCTATGAGTCAGATCCGACTCGATGGCAGTGAGTTTAGTTTTTGGTTTTGGACTAGAGGAAGGACACTTGGTTTCTACCTTGGTGAGGTTCCCACTTAGTAGTGGCATCAAACTCCTTGCTTTTGCAGGCACTGTCTCATAGAGGGAGGAGTTTGGGGGTAGAAGTAGTAAAGTAAGTATGCATAGAGGTAAATTCAGTGCAAAAACAAACTAAGGGTGTATGAAGTAAATTTTGGGGACACCAGGTGAAGCCGTGGTCCAGAATGGGGTTGTATAATTGGAGGAGGTGAGTACTGCATGCCTGTGATGTTCACTTGTCTAATGGCCATTTTATGTTTGCTTCTGTGACAGCCCCAGATCCAAGTGTCCCTCCTGGCTCTGTAGAGTGCCCTGTGGTAAATGAAGCAGAGCGTATCAACTGTATCCCTGACCAGTCACCAACAAAGGTTTGGCATATAGATCTTGGTTTCATTGACGACTTTATGCCATTGGGCACTTTCTTCCTATTTCTAGTTCTTGGCGAGTTGGCATTGTAGCCAGTGATGGCTCTGGCAAAGCAATCCCCGTCTGTGCTTCTGTGCTGTGGCCTCTGGGGAGAGGAAAGGCAAGGAGCATCCCCTGGGGCCCAGGGTTGTTGCCAGACTTAGCTAATAGGAAATAGGCCACCGGATTCAGTGTGAATTTCAGGGAAGCAACAGGTACGTTTTCAGCATGAGTGTGTCCCAGGCAGTATTTGAGACTTACTGTCTTGGAGAAGTCCAGCCTGAATGCTCCTAGGAAGTGAGGATGGTGAGATTTCATCTCATGTACTTTGGACATGTGATCAGGAGGGACCGGTCCCTGGAGAAGGACGCCCTGCTTGGTAAAATAAAGGGTCAGTGAAGAAGAGGAAGATTGTCAACAAGAACACAGCAGCTGCAGCAATGGGCTCAAACGTAATGATGATTGTGAAGATGGTGCAAGACCAGTCAGTACATTGTTCAGTTGTACATGGGGTTGCTATGGGTCAGAGCTGACCTGATGGCACCTGACCCCAACAAAAATGCTGAAAAAGGATTTGAATTTTATCTGACAACCTTCTTGGCTCCTAGTTTTCTCTGGTTCTATCACTGCCTCTGTTTCTTGACTTCTCTGTCTCTCTTTCAGCTTTGCAGATTCCAAAAGGTTATCTAGGCTGTATGATAAAATTTATCTAGAGGTCAAAATGATTTGAAGTAAGGACAAAGCTTCCAGTGACATGCAATTGCAGATTAAATATAGCACTTGCATGTGAGCATTTACGTTAGGCCATCTACTTCCTGACCATCAGCTAAAGTCCAGTTGAGTATCTGATTATAGGGTGCACTGTACACACCCCATCAGGTACTGTTCTCATTAAGAAGAATTTCTAAAGGAAAACCAAAATGGAACCTTCTGAAGGCAGTCCACTGACACGCAATGGCAGGCTTGGGTGAGGCGGGTGAAGGAGTGTCCCGCGTCTGATGTTCTGGCACCTGGTGCTCCGGGTCTGTCTCTGTGGCCCTCCTAATCTCGGCAGCCTGGGGTCATGTCCCTCAGAGTTGCAGTTCTGGTTTATCTAAAGATCCTCAATGCCACACAACTTTCTTCTTCTTTCCTGTTAAATGCTAAATCTGCACTAGTGGATTACTCTTCTTGGGGTTTGGGGTCGGGGTGGGGAGGGAGCTATAAGTATGGAAGGAAGGGCATGAGAGTCACCTCCTTGGATTTCTCATTAGGCAAAGGTAGAAGCTTGTAAAGACAGAGAAGTGAGCGGGAAGCAAAATCTCTATCAGAAAGCGTGATTTTCCAAACATGCAGATGTTTGGTGTCTTCCAGCCCATGGTCTGGTAATTGACTCGAATGCTCCCTTTCCCGAGCACTTTATTGTTGGGTACATTATGCAGGCAGGAGTGTGCCTGGCAGGTAGATGAACAGTGTGGAGGCTAGTGGGACTGGAATAGTGTGAGGTGAGAGGAATAGCAGGAGGTGAGGCCGAAGGGGAAATGGTGTGGGCTGGTGGTGATGGGCATCATAAGAACAGGTATTATCCTTGGGTTCTGTGAATGGTTTACATGTGACTGCTCACTGAAAGACTGGAGAAAAAGGGGCTGGTGGTCTACTTCTGAATACCAGCCACTGAAGTCCCCCTGGAGCACAGTTCTACTTTGATACACAGGGGGTCGCCTGGAGTCAGAGTTAGTTTCCTGGCAATTGGTTTTATTGTCAGCTCATCAGAATATTGGATTAATCATTGAGGCATCCTGATTATAAATATAATTAGGAGTTTGGGAATGGGAGAGACCATGGGAGCCAAGGAAGAAGCTATCTTGATGCTGGGACATGGGGCATACTCTGGGGTCTGAGAAGCAGGTGATAAGTAAGATGAGAGTGTTCCTAGAAGAAGGGCTTCTGAGGACAAAGGCACAGAGATGGGGATTGTGCCTAATGGGGCCTTTGGTGGAGACTGAGATGGCCGAGGAACTGAGCCAGAGGACTCAGGCAGCAAAGACACAGAAGAAGAGTGTCTGGTTGTGTGATGTGAAAGAAGGCCTTGATGGGGAGTTTAGAATTAAGGGAAAGAAGGGAATCAGAGCCAGACACGTGGCCTGTCTAGAATTGCAGGTTGGAGCAGCGTGATGGCCAAAATTAGTCGGGAAGTCCAGAGGATGTGTTGACGGCAAGAGAGAGAGTTTGGATGAGGTAGATAGATCAATATCAGGATCTCCCTCAGGCAGGACAGAGCAGGGCCTTGACTGGTATTGAAGCAGAGGGCAGCTGTCTGGGCAGCAGGACTGCTGAGGCAGGAAGGAATCCAGAGTGGGAGTGACACACCTTCCAAACCTGCTGCAGTGTCCAGCCCCTTCCCCGGCTTGTCACCTAAGAGGAGTGGACTAGCCTTCTCTTAGATTCTGTTCATAACAGAAGGAATGAGGCTGAGCCAAGAAGGTCGATTCAGATTTTGAAAGAGTTTGGAAATCAGGTAGTGGAGTTTGGTTTTGATGTGACACACAGCAGCCAGGAGCAGCCATTTAAGGCTGAATATGGAGTCATGTCGTGGGTGAAAAAAAGAAAGAGGACAGCCAAAGATTTAGTAAGAAACACGAGGAGCAGACAGGGGAGAACAATGAAGGAATAGTTTGATATGGAGCCAAATGCAACAGAGCTTAGCATTTTGGGTTATAGTCTCAATTAAATCAAACAATATTCTTGTCATACATTCTAGTAGCAGAGATAAGCTAAAGAAATGAATTTAAAAGACCTATAATTTATAACAAAAGTAATATAAGAACTACTGTGGGAATCACAAAGTAGAAGAGATTATCATCAGGGAGAAAGTGACAGTATGGAATTAAAGATAAGTAGGGTTTTGACAGAGTGGGGGAGTGTAGAAAGTGAATTCAAGATAGAAGAGATACTGCAAAGTTAGAGAAGGGGACTGCAGGGCCATATGTTATAGAGGATGGTCGCATATGGCCAAGCTGGAGGGTGGGTGCCAGAGAGACTTGGGTAGGCTGGAACTGGATGGTGGAGGACTGTGCTGCTTTTGGGTGGGAATGGGAAGCTGTGGTCTAGACAGATCTACCTAAACAGGATGTCTGGTGCCCTAGGTTTGCAGAAGGTTGAGTCACAGCCACGCTGTTGCTCTTGTCATGTTTTGTCAAGAAATGAGCTGCTTAGTCCCCCACCAGGAAGGCTGAGGCATCCTGAGTCTGTCCACTCTCCCCATCACTCATCTTCCTTTTAGTTCTCGGTGGACATCAGACACCACTGCTGCTTCAGTAATAGACTACGTGTTTTTCAAATAGATGTTTTTATTGTAGAACCTTTTAATAAGCTCTGTGCTATCAAGATGGCAGTTTAATAAACGAACTTTGACTTTTTCTACATGTTGTGCCCAACTGAGTTAGTCCACCGTTTAGTGTTTAGTGTTCACTCATCCTCACGTTCCTTTCTGCGTTGGCCAGAAAAAAACTCTGGAAGCATCTTCTGTGATCCACTGTCTCATACAAGACAAATCGTAGGCTTGCTGTTACATGTCCTGAGTATCCTGGGTCTTCTATACTGATACAGGCTGCTTTTGAGGGGCTGGGTCCGTGGATAACTGTCGACTTCTGTGGTGCCCATGCTAAAGGGAAGTGCATAACTATGTGGAGGCAGAGGTGGTGAGAAATTATGGACATGGCAGGCTGGCTGGGCAGAACGTTGTGGAACTGAGCCACCACTCTGCCATTATATAGTTCCCATCTCCTCCTCTCCCCATAAGGATCACATAGAAAAGGACCAAGAGGCTAAATGTGGATTGGTTGCAGATCCCAGGGTCTTGATTCCAGTGATGGAGGAGATCTTGTGTCCAGGGAAGGATAAGGCAATCTGTTCAACCACCTGTGCAATCTTAGGTTGACTTTTTGGAGCGAATGGAGCCCCAGGAGTCCCTTTCATGGGTCTCAGCAAAAGGATGGCCCTGCTCTTTAACTTTCTAGTCCTGTCTTCGGTTCTGAGCTGGTAGCTGGCCACTGCCTGCAGGGCACCTTCTCTGGAGTGAGCAGAACTCACCACCTCGTCACTGAGTCTGCTTTCTTTTCTCATCGTAAGAGTCCTGTTGTTGTTGTGTGCCGTCGAGAGAGTTCTATTAGTGGTTCTAATATTCCTCTAGTTTCTGCTGCAGAAACATCAAGGGCATAGACTCGATGCACAATGGAGCTAAACTCAGCAGAGTCTTTCAGCATCCCTGTGACCACTGTGGATTAAAGTGTCGGGATCCACACGGTTTTCAAGGGCTGACTTTTGGAAGTAGCTCGTCAGGCCCTTCTCCCCAGCCTGTCAGTCTGTAAGCTTTGATGAAACATGAGCATCATCGTAGCCACACACAAGCCTCCATGATGGTGGGTAATGGTGCACATGGGGTGCATTGGCTGGGAATCAGACCTGGGTCTCTTGCGTGGAATTCTATCATTGAATCCCCACTGAGTGCTGTAGCATTTCATTGTGGTACGTTGGGTCAAGTCCAACACTTTACACCACCATCTAAGGCCCTATCCAGCCTACCTCCTACCTCTATAGCTTCCCTCAGAGCATCACCCCATGCAGATTGTAGTTGGTGGACTACACTTATCCCAAACCTACCCATCCTTGATGAAAGCATCACTGTTTACTTACTGAATGAAGCCTTTTCAACTCAGAGTTGAAGAAGCCATTGATACCAGGATGCAGAAGGATCTAGTCAACTCCTGATATCCATCCCAGGAAAGACAGGGCAGATCACAATCTTAAACACCTTACCTTGATGGTCAGGATGAGGATTTCTATATAAACATGGGAGAGCAGATTCACACGCTTCAAACAAGCCTGCATGCCCTGTGGAGTCATTGCAGAGGGGCTCCAGGCTCCACTGAGCGGTGTATGATGAAATATTGCCACGGATAGTAACGACAGCGATAATCTGAATGATGGCATTTAAGAGAGGCGGGCAACTGCATTTCCTGTTCAGAAACTTCATCCCACTCCACAGCAAACACGTTTGATAATTGTCGTTCATTTGTTACTGGTGTATTATGACACCTTTCCCCAATTCCAGCTTCTTATCAGTAAGTATCTAAGGGAAAAAGTTTTCTTGTGTTGACAAATACATTGCGTTTTGCCCAAATCATCACGTGTCAAGTCTCGACCGTTAAAACAATGGTGTTTCCCTGACACCTGCTAAGAGCTGTCTTACAATCTGGGAAGAGCACAGTCCCAGGTTAGACATGAGCTCGTGGATTTTGTGCCTAGAATGAAATCGTGTAGCCGCTAGGAGGCAGCACGGTGGGGGGACCAGGGCCCAAGGTTGGGATGGAAGGAAGTGGCCAATTTAACTTTTAAAAACTGGCACAAGATGCACATCCTATGAAATAGTCTACAATTAATTTCACTGAGATATGATTAATTTTACTCATCACTTGATTTCTTCAAACTTGCTGCATATTTATTGCATATTTATTTTTATAATAAGGAACATTTTAATGAATAAAAAGTAATTTGAAATTCCTGTATCATCAAGTGTTTTTCAACCTGTAAAATTCCTGAAGCTATTTGAAAACACGATATGTTTTCCCATTTCACTCATTTCCCTTATTAAGACTTCCTGGTTCCACTGTTTTGTACACAGCTTCATATTCTTTTGACATTATAGAAAATAAAGATTTTACCACCTATGCATCAAATGGCAGGAGGGCTATAGAAGCTAGATACTTTTTTTTTTAATTGTGATTTGGGTGAAAGTTTTCAGAGTAAATTCACTTTCCATACAGCAGCGCACATACACTATGTCTCATGGCATTGACTGCAATCTCCCACAATGCAACAGCTCCCCTCCCACTTCCTCCCCATAGCCACCTCTTCCCTGTGTCCATCCCTCCATGCACTCCTGCCCCCTGAGCTGTCTCCCTGTGCATACACAGCCCTTCTATTCTGCCATGATTGATCTCTCCAAGGAGTGTATCTACCTAACATAAATGTTCAGTTCATAAGCCTGTGTTTTGTTTGTCTGGGAGCCACAGGAGTGGGTTCAATCCCAGGCCTGAGGAGCAGGTAGGGGCCATAGTCTCAGTAGTTCCACCGGGCTCTATCAGACCAGCAAAAGTAATCCCTTTTATTATTTTATAATTTTGAGTTTTGTTCCACATTGTTCTCCTACTCTTTGCAGGATCTCCTACATAGATCCCCCTCCGAGTGGTTGATAGTGGTAGCCAGGCAGAAACTAGGTACTTTTAAAAAGGTATTTGAATTTGGAATCTGGTTAATTTGAAGGAGTGCTTTGACTGCTTTTAGGGTGCCCTGGGCTCAATGATAAAGCTATTCAGGGAAGAACTGGGCAGTTGAGCCTCTCGCTTTCCACTTGGCCCCTAGCCCTCCATGCTGGGCTGACTCACATTGCCTCCTGTAAGTCCCTGGTCTCCAGGGGGCACAGCTTCTCCACCTCTCCACTTCCATGAAGCAAATGACCCCATGCTGGCAGGCTTCCAGCAACAAGTGCTTTATTATGTCTCCTGATCTGCATCACGAGGGCTTGGGCAGGGCTTGGCCGGGCAGTTCTTCCATTCCACGCTGTGCTCAGTTGGTGGCTGATCTTGTCCAGAGGGTCCCACAGAGTTTCTGCCCTAGCCTGGCACCTTGGTGGGGATGATCCTATGGCTGGTCTCACCTGGGCCGAAGGGGTCTCGGAGGCCCTTTGTGGTGTCTTGCACAGGTAGTTGGAGCTTGGAGCCGCAGGAGCTCACAGTGACCGTCGCCAGTCCTCTGGAAGCCTGGGGCCACAACTGGACTGCCTAGCATTGCTTTAGCTACTTTTGCTTGGTTGAGGCAGGTCATGGGCCAGACTGGAACCTGTGGGAAGAGGCAGACCCACCGCTTGGACGGAGGGGGTCAGAGAAAGCATGGCCATTTGTAAACAACCAGAAAAAAGAAAAAAAAAAAAAAACAACCAACCAGTGGTCTTTGAGTCTTTCTGACTCATGGTGACCTCATGTGAGTCAGAGAAGGTCTGTGTCCACAGGGTCCCCAATGGCTGAAGTTTCAGAAGGGGGTCATCAGGCCTTTCTCTTGGGGGACCTCTGGGTACACTCAGATGACCACCATGGTGCTCAGCACCTTAGCACATTAGCCATTGGCAGCACTCAGGACCCCTGAAATAGCCACAGGTAATGGCTCATTCTGCTCAGAGAAAGTGTGAAGGGGGGTGAAGACTGTGGGAAGAGGACAGGACCAGGTCATGGGGTCAGCATCAGGAAAGGGGTGGCTGGTGGACTGACTGACTGAGGTCTGACACCACTGGTGGAAAGACGTGGTCATCTGGTGAATGTCAGGAAGTGATCTCTATGCCAACCTTGCTGTTGCTGTTGGTGGCAGCTGAGTGGGCCTCCAGCTCCTGGTGGCCCCGCACAGTGGGACGGGGTTGTAGTGACTCCTGCATTGTCACTGACTGATTTCTGGAGGGATGTCACTAGCCCTTCTGAGTCCATGTGAGTCTGGAAGTTCTGCTGAAACCTGTTCAGCATCTGAACCACACACCAGCCTCCACAGACAGACAGGTGGTAGGGCCATCTTGGGGCTTTCTATTGCACAAGGTTATTTTTCTTCAAAGATCTACCCTTTTATGACATTGACTTAACTCTACAGTTTCAGTGACCTCACATGGTCATCTAGGTCATTCTTTGGTCTTTAATAGGTAAGTAATCAATCATGCTGGTCCACTGGTACCCACCCTTCTTTGAAGAATTTTTTAACTGGAAACTCTCCAATCTCCTTTGATTGTTTATTCAAGTATTTTGTCCCCTCATTGGTCTGCAAGCTTATAAGTCTAATTACTTTCTCCTTCTTAATTTAATTAAATTTAAATTTATCAGAATTTAATTTCTTTTTAAATTTATTTTATCCCATTTTAATCCTAAACAAGGATTATAATCTATTGGGGTATCAAGGTATCAAGGAAAGATTGTTTTCCACTTTTGGAGGAGTTGAGAGACCACTGTCTATGTATGTATTTATAACATGTAGTTACAAGTTAATCAGTTTGATTTCAAAACCTCCAAATGAAGACGACTGCACGGTCTTTAAACTAAAAGTCAAAGTCAATGTAAAGGAAGTGCCACTTGCAAGTTTGGATTGTGATTTAGAACATGTGGCTATATGCTCATCAGCTTGATTGGAGAGACAGGGAAGAGTGAAAGCACTGTGCTCAGAAGGGAGGTAGCACCGTGGTGTGGTTAGGACACTGCCCGTGGAACTGGTGGGAGGGCTCGCTCAGTCATCGCTCGGGTCTCAGTGTCCCGACTTGTACCGTGAGGTTAATGAAACCACAGCTCAAATGAGACTTGCTGTGCTTCGTAAATGATGATGTTCTACAATCCATGGAGTTCCTTTGACAACCTTCTCTTGTTTCAGGCCACATGTGACCAGCGAGGCTGCTGCTGGAACCCTCAGGGAGCCATAAGCATCCCCCAGTGCTACTATTCCAAAAGTCATGGCTATCAGGCAGAGGGTGACCTCGTGGACACGAGGGCAGGTAAGCTAAGTGGATGGTGTAGGAGGCAGGCGCTCCGGGCCCTCTGGGGGTCAGCTCATGCCCCCAGCAGAGAGAAGAGTGCTCTCAGCCCAGCCACACTGTCACGTGCGTGTACGCAAGAAGGTGGGTGTGCTCTGGACTCTGCTCTGCAGCAGGGTCTACAGTCGATGCTGGCACCGAGAGCACATGGCTCTGCCTTGGGAGTTCAGAGTCCATCCCTGCTCCTGGCTCCACCTATGCACCTTCGTGACCTTGGCAGCCATTTTGACCCCCTTGGTTCACCACTTACTCACTTTGAGTGTGAAGGATTTGAACTCAGCAACCCTGTGACTACTTCCGACTCTGTGTCAGTAGCATCGAGTCAATTGTCACTCATGTGACAGAGTGGAACTGCTCCATGGAGTTTTCTTGGCTGTAATCTTAGGGTGCAGATCACCAGGCTGCCCTTCCATGGTACCACTGAGTGTGCTTGAACTGCCAACCTTTAGGTTAGCAGTTGCGTGCAAACTGTTTGCGCACCCAGCAGACCTCAGTATTATGTGATTCTAACGATAAGGACGCACTTCCAACTTTGTCACATTTTGTGGAATTTACCTAATCAGTTTATGAACCTAGGCACCCTTTCTCTTCCCACCCTAAAATGCAGAGTGTATAGTGTGCATTCTAGGAGGTAAATGCAGAGTGTATAGTATGCATTCTAGGAGGCACCGGAAGGTTATTCCTATGGAGAGGAAAAATGGCCCCTCCAGCGACCCTTAGCTCAATGAACTCTGATGCTAAGGTCTTCACGCTCACCTGGCTTACCAGGAACTAGGGACTTGGCACCGAGGTCTGGGAGTCCCTGTCACATCACAGGGAAGTAACTGAGGGCTGAGGGTGCACAGCGGCTCTGATTAACACAGAGCAATGGGCTGGAGGAATGGGAGCTGATTCTCTGGGATGGTGGGGATTTTCAATCAAACTTTGTACAAGAAAGACCTGCACTTTGAGAGAAGGTAGGGACAGTTCCTCATCTCAGGATCCAGCCTGAGGTGAGGCATGTGGATAACATGCCCATCTCTTCCTTTTTTGGAGAATAAAGCCTTTTCACCAGCCCCTTTGACATGAAGGTGGTTTCCATGTGGCTGCCCTTTGTGAAGATACAGAGCCAACGATGAAAACCTTTCCCTCCTGTATGTTAGGGTTCACAGCTCAGCTGAGGAGGCTGCCTTCTCCATCTCTGTTTGGAAGTGAGGTCGACAACATCATTCTCACGGCAGAATACCAGACATCCAAGCGATTCCACTTTAAGGTGTGGTTTGCCGTTTTAAATTATCTCTTTGGGGTTCTTGTTCTTTACCCGGGGACTGCAGTTTCTACAAAATAAGAGGTTTGTGAATGGAGGTATTTTTCCTGTTCCTGTTATTCTTATTTAGTACCACTGGCCTTTCCTCTGTGTGATAACTGCCTAAATCTGTGTTATGGATTTGGCCGGTGAGCTTTGTGGTCACTCACTTCCCTGGACACCGTGTGAAATGTAGCAGGGATGGGGGACAAGGACAAGAGTCATCCCAGCTTTGAAAACTCGAGGAGCAGTGCACCTCCTCAGATCTGCAGTATGTGTTCCTGCCCAAAGACTGCATTTGCTCAAGTGTTGACTATTTGAACTGAGTGTTGTACAATGTCACAGTGTTGCTGGGTCAGTGTTAGCCATCTGTTTTAGGTGTTATATAATGTCAGTGTTGCTGGGTCAGTGTTAGCCATCTGTTTTGGGTGTTGTACAATGTCACAGTGTTGCTGGGTCAGTGTTAGCCAACTGTTTTGGGTTGTACAATGTTGCAGTATCACTGGGTCAGTATTAGCCATCTGTATTGTGTATTACACAATGACACAGTGTCACAGGGTCAGTGTTAGTCGTCTGTATTGGGTAGTGTACAATGTCACAGTGTCACTGGGCCAGTGTTAGTCAATTGGGTGTCATACAATGTCACAGTGTCACTGGGTCAGTGTTAGTCATCTGTATTGGGTGTTATACAATGTCACAGTGTCACTGGGCCAGTGTTAGCCATCTGCATTGAGTATTATACAATGTTGCAGAGTCATTGGGTCAGTGTTAACCATCTGTATTTAGTGTTGTACAATGTCACAGTGTCATTGGGTCAATGTTAGCCATCTGTGTTGTGTGTTATACAATGTTGCAGAGTCACTGGATCAATGTTAGCCATCTGTATTGGCTGTTATACAATGTCACAGTGTCATAGGGTCAGTATCTGAGTTCCATGAGCCTCGATACTGGGAAGCACTGATGTCTGTGGGAGAAGTTTCCACTTTGGCTCTCTTCTCTTTTCTCTCTCGGGCAGTTAACTGACCAGAAGAAGGACAGGTATGAAGTGCCCCATGAACACGTTCAACCTTTCCAAGGAAATGCTTCTTCTTCCTTGTCCTACCAAGTGGATGTCTCCAAACAGCCATTCAGCATCAAAGTGAGCCGCCAGAGCAACAACCGTGTTCTGTAAGCTTTGAGAATATGTCTGGGGGTCAGGGTGGGACAGTTACAGGGGTCTTTCAACAATATCCAGAAGGTTGTGAGCCCACACTGGCCACAGACTCTCTCTTCTCCCTCCAAATGTGTCCTTTCCTCTGCCTTTCTTTCTCTTTCTACCTTCCATTTCCTCATTTTTTTCTTTTCCCTTTGTTTCCTCCATCCATCTTACACCCTATCTGCCAGGAAATACTTACTGAACAGTTACTATCCTAAAGGCATAATGTTTTGTCACATGGTACTGTGTCTGGAAACAAATCTAAGAAATGTACCACATATACCTGCCCTCAGGGAGTCCTGGCCTCTTGGTGGCCATAGGAAAATGTCACCGGAGGGCAAATGGGGCAGATTAAATAGGGGCTACTAATCATTACTGTAAAAAGACAAAGAAGGGTTTGCTTGTGAAAGGGGACTCACATTGTAGGTTATGGAGATGGGGAGGGAGAGGGAGGGATTAATTTTGGGCTAGTTGGGGCCCACATGCTGATGTAGGTAAGGGGAGGGATGTATGGAAAGAGTCTGAGACCACCATGTTAACATTAGGAAATGGAAGGACATTGAATTGTGCACATGGGAGATAGATGACAGATGCTAATACCAACCAGTGTGGCCACAATACTGCATTACTATTAACACCAAACACCAGACTACAGATCAACACATAAACACCTGAGAGGATCAGATGGGGGTCAGTGAACAGGAGTATACTCTAGACCAAGGATAGATTCAGTTCAGGCTAATCTTGCACAGATACCAGTGATACAAAATACCTGCAATCCTTACAGAAACAATAGAAGACATAGAGCAATCCCTCACAGGCACCCAGACACTGTGGGAGAGAGAGCCACCGGATCTACCATCTCAGGACCATAGTACTGGGGGACACTGGACTCAATTGGCACAACAAAATACATTAAAAGTGTTGCTCCACATCTTACATTGGTGAGTAGCGACCAGGGTCTTAAAAGCTTTCAAGTGGCCATCTAAGATGCAGCGAATGGTCTCTTAGTGTCAGAAACAAAGAAGAGTGCAAAACAACAAGGGCATTTTTGCAATCACCCCAAGGACATGATGGCCCTCGAGACCAGAAGAACTAGATGGTGTCTGGCTACCAATGCCAACCACTCAGGAAAGGATCAAATCTGAGATCCTGGATAGAGGGGAAGGAAGAACATGGAACAAAATCCCAAAACTCCATAATGACCAGAATTACTGGTTGGATGGAATCTGGTGAGACCCCCAATACTGTGGCCCTGGAATACATTCTGCACCTGGAATAAAATTCACTTGCAGGGGCTGGCTCTCAGCCCAATAGTTAACAAGATGTATGTACATGCAGACCACTCAACCCAGGGGGACGCACCCACATACTGTATGGAAATACATCCCTTGGAGAAATAGACCATGGGGCACCAGAGGGGCAACATTCACATGGAGATAATGCAGGACAAAGAGGAGTGTATAACTACGAGGAGCACAGGGGGCGGGTTACTGGGCAGGGAGGGAAGGAGACTGGGTTAGGGTTGGGCATAGTAAATGGGGAATGAAACTAAATGTACATGTAACATTGAATGTAAAACAAACTCTTAAAAAAAAAAAAAAAAGAGGTAAATAAATAAATAAATACTCAGGCACTTGACTGCTAACCAGAAAGTGGTTCCAACCTACCAGCCACTCCTCGAAAGGAAGATTGGGCAATCTACTTCTGTAGAGATACTGCCTCGGAAACCCAAGGAGGGGTTGTTGTGAGTCAGGATCAACTCGATGGCAGTGAGTCTGTTTTCTCTGGACCGAGTCATTGAGGAGTCTCTGGGTGGTGTCAGTGGTTAACGTGCTCAGCTGCTAACCAAAAGGCTGGAGGTTCGGGTCCACCCAGAGGTGCCTTTATGGAAAGGCCTGGTGATCCACTTCCGAAGAATCAGCCATTGAAAATCCTGCAGGGCACAGTTGTCCTCTGTCCGCATGGGGTTGTCATGAAGTGGAGTCAACTCGGGGAGAACTGGTTTGGTGTCTGGGATTGAGTCATTGATGTGTAAACAATATTTTTCAAGCAGCTGTGCTCTCTCGACAACTCCTTCCCACCTGCCTCTGTATTTCCCACCTGTGCCAGGTTTGACTCAAGCATTGGGCCCCTGCTCTTCACCGACCAGCTCCTGCAGCTCTCCATCCGCCTGCCCAGTGCCAACGTATATGGGCTGGGAGAACACGTGCACCAGCAGTACCGCCATGATATGAACTGGAAGACCTGGCCCATCTTTGCCAGGGACACGACTCCCAATAGGGTGAGCACACCACTATCATGGCCTTACTGTTAGAGGTTGAGTCTAGCAGTGCCTTGCAGTAGTTCAAAGTCTATTCATCATGATTCTTGGGGATTGACTCCAGCAGTACACTTTAGGGGTTCAGAGTCAGATTCCAGGACCAGACTGCTGGACTTGATTTCCAGCTCTGCTACTTCCCAGTTCTGTGGGTCTGTGTCTTCAGTCTCTCGTCCATAAGTGGGGGCACTCTGCTTACCTTGTAGGGGGTGTGGAAAGAAGCAAATGCCTCGATGTAAGTAAAGTACCCAGGTGAATGTCTGATGCATAGTTAGTGCTCTGTAAATGCCAAGGACTTTAAATTACACTTTCTCTTCAAACCAGCTAGTTGTGGAGAAAACATTTTTAACATCTGCTCTCTGCTCTGAGGGTTGGTTATGCTCTTCACATGTTTAGGCTGATGCTTAAAAATCACCAATTTATCAGAAGAAAGTATCAGCCAAAACACTGTAGTAATCATTTCTTACGTGAAGAACTGTTGGATCAGTGAAGGAAAAGGCAGAGATGTGCCCCCTTCTTCCTTTTGTTTGCTTTTGCTTGTTGTCTGCTTTGAGTGCTGAACTCCAGGCAGAGTACTTCAGTGCGATATTCAGGTTTCATCCAGGAGCTTTCTGGTGAAGCACAGTCAACGGCTGGATGAGGAGAGCATGGCAGTGTTGTGTTAAGCAAGGATTTTTACCCAGTGATAAACAGTGAGTCTCCATTCACCAAAAGAACCTCGAAAGGAAAAGTGTGATTAACTCCATTGGGAACTGTGGCTCAGAGAAATCTCATGGATGCTGAGGTCAGAAAGTTTGGAAACGACAACGCTGGGATCTAGGCCCGGGCCCCTCTGACTTAACACCAATACCCCTATTACACCATTTGCCCATGAGAAGATCAGAGAAGGTGTTGAGTTAGACCGGCTCATCTGGAAAAAGCCAGGGACCATTGTATAATTAAATAGCCACAGACTCTTCTTACTCAGAGGGCTTGGCTCGGGCACCACTGAATCTGAGATTCGGACTTTCAGACCCTCACTCCATCTACTGAATTAGAATCTGCATTTAAATAAGATCCCCCATGTCATTAGTTGTTGTTGTTGTTGTTGTTGTTGTTATGTGCCCTCGAGTCAGCCCAACTCATAGCGACCCCTCCTTGGGTTTCCGAGGCAGTATCACTATGGAAGTAGATTGCCCCATCTTCCTTCTGAGGAGTGGCTGGTGGGTTTGAACTGTCAGCCTTCTGGTTAACAGTCAAGTGCCTTAGGCACTACACTACCAGAGCTCCCATGTAATTAATTAGTAGGCACAGCAAATTCTGAGAAGCACTGTTCTAAAGCAGTGATCTTCAAACTTGACTCCACTTTGGAGAAATTTAAATGTAAATAGCACTGCCTGCTCCCATTCCCAGAGATTCTCTTTTAAAACCATTTGCCTATCAACACTTTTAGCCTCTCAGGTTTCTTGGGAAATTACTATCTGTTTTAGTATGTGCTGCTTCCTGGTGGGGACCTGTATAACTGCATTAATCTGAAGAAACAGGGCTCACCACACCAATCCTACCACGAGACTCCACTCGGGACCTATGTGTCCTGCATAATTCTGTTAAAGTCCCTATTACCTCAAACATTTTTTCCCCTTGATTTCAGCATGCCTTCCATTACTGAAACTGCATGGTATCAACCCAAGAGTCAAAGCAGAAAGCAGTTTGGTTATAAAAGGGTTAATTGGTCTGGGTCCAACCTGGGTTGAGAACTAAGTTGGAAAGACTAGAAGACTAGCTAGATGCCTAAACCAGAGCTCCATCTGGTTGCAAAGTAGAAAGATATCTGATTCTTGGTAAGACTTGCTGGCACCTTTGCAGACAGCTTAAATCAGGTTAAGACAGGCTCTTTGAGAGGGGGAGCTTTCTGGAGTGTGATTTCAGAATTCCCACCTTCCCACCTTCTGACAATACCACCCCTATTCCTACTAGAGATATGGTCCCAGTTGGCCCACTCACTAAGAAAACACAATTCCCTAGGTTAACGTCAACCAAATACAGACCCATATTTTTAAACTCATTTGTGTCCTGTGTGACCCTGAGTCCCCTGTTATTGAGTGATTAGCACTGATTAAGACTGATTTACTGGGCCATTTCCAGCAGCATGGGGTTTACACGATTAGGTCGTAAATGTGTGATTTTCCACGACCTTTCTGTAGGATGGAACGAACCTGTACGGAGCGCAGACTTTCTTCCTGTGCCTTGAAGACGCCAGTGGCTCGTCCTTCGGGGTGTTTCTGATGAACAGCAACGCCATGGGTAAAGGACCAAAGAGATGTGTTCATGAAAGAAAGCACAGGAGTGCTTTGCAGTGTTTCGTACAGCACCGTGGTAAAGGGATGGGGTCTTTTAAGCCTGGTTGGGCCACAGCTGTTGTTGTTATGTGCTGTCGAGTTGGATCCAACTCATAACGACCCCTCCTTGGGTTTACGGGGAGGTATCACTACGGCAGTAGATTGCCCAACCTTCCTTCCGAGGAGTGGCTGGTGGGTTTGAACTGCCAGCCTTCTGGTTAGCAGTCAAGTGCCTTAGGCACTGTGCTACCAGAGCTGTTAGGGCCACAGCTAAGGGCTGAGTTGGTTTCTCATCGTTCCATCTCTGCTTCATTACCTGGTGACCCAAGGGTGCCATGAATCGGGGTTCCTCTCCTAGCTTATGATTTTCCTGAATCTGGCTGCCTCTGTTGGAATATTTTCTGTTAAGACAGCTGACCCTTTCCTATAATCTCCTCTGAGGCAGTTTCCACCAACCTGTTCTCCCTCCTGAGCTTTTCCTTCGGTGCACAAGCAACCAACCAGCTGCTGTTGACGTGATGCTGATTTGTGGTGCCCCCCCCCCATATGTGTCAGAGGAGAACTGTGCTCCATACGCTTCTCAAAGGCTGATTTCCTCAGAAGCAGAGTGCCAGGCCTTTCTTTTGGGGAATCTCTGAGTAGACTCAAACCTCCAACCTTTAGCTTAGCATCTGAGCACTTAACCACCCCTCAGACACTCCTTCCCCAACTGGTGGGTTGATATGAATGCAGGTAGGAAGAGGCCAACTGCTCAGGCCCTAACAATGTGAGCAACCAGGGCCACCGTGGGAGCTGCAACTGAGCAGAGAACGTTATGCTCAGGTGCCCCAAAGGCAGAGAGGTCAAGTGCAACGGCAAGCGGGGCAGGAAGAGTGTGATCAGGTTGCTTCAGAACAAAGTGTGCAATGTCCCAGGACGTTGGCAAGCTTCTCCATTTTTGGCCAATAATTCTCAACACTTTCTGCTTGTACCAGTAACAACAGATCCCGGTGGCAATGAATCACCAGAACGTGGGAGGAGGTGTGTCAGAATCTCTCGGGGTTGACGGGGGGCATAGGCTCTTGAACCCCTCTTCTTCTCAATCAAGAATCATTGGACCAGATCAAGATCAGTGCTGCCAAAGGACACCCTCTTCCTCTTCCCTGAGATTCATTCAAAGAATGGTGCACAGATGGGCAGACTGTTTCAGGTCTATGGGAGATAAGGACTTTGAAAGTGAGCCTTTCTGTCACACTCCAGTGCACGCATGGACCTAGTCCTAGTGGTTCATTTTCATGTCATTTTGTAAAAGTGTAAGTCTGTGGTGGAAATTGAAAAAAAAAAAAAAAAAATCTGCTCCCTCACCACAGACTGTTTGCAAAGCACTGGACTGGGTGGTCCCAAAGGCCCAGCTTTATTTAGTTCATTTGTTTCCAGCCGAGGCAGGGAGAATATGCTGAGTGATGCAAGGACTTTATGGTTTCAGGTAGGTGGCAGGGACCAGCAACAAGCTCAGGCTCCATGGGAAGCTTCCTGGAACCTGGATTCTCTGCGTCAAGATCTTTTCATGATCGAGAGGCAGGTGTCAGTCTGTTTCTTACAGCACTGTGTTAAAAGGGGCGGGGTCCTTCAAGCCTGGTTGGGCCACAGCTGTTGTTGTTGTTATGTGCCATTGAGTTGGACCCAACTCATAGAGACCCCTCCTTGGGTTTCCAAGGCGGTATCACGACGGAAGTAGATTGGCCAACCTTCCTTCTGAGGAATGTCTGATTCAAGATGCAGACCTTTGCTATAGGGAGAGCTCACCTCTGGAAATGGCCTTTGGGGCATAGAGAGATTTTGAAACTATAATATAATCTCTGACATTGTTGAGTTTGGCTCTTGCTTGATGTGGGATTCAAAGATTAAGTCAGGACCTCCGTATGCCTCACTGGGTCGTGTTCCTATAGTCATGGGGTGTGTCATGCAAGGGGTGTGGATGGGGGGGGGGTACAGTATGTCCTGAGGTTGTGGGTGTGATTGGTTTGTGATCAGAGCCTTGGTCCAGCACAAGGAGTTAACATGCTCCAGTGACCTGTTGTTGAAGTCTGTCATCAAGTCAAGTGCTTGGGCTCTTGTGTCCCATGACAGTAGGCCTTGGTCATCAGTTTCTCACTTTATATACAAAATCTAAAACATCAGGAGGATCACTTTATTAACGATGACACGGTTGTGGTCTTCCAGTCTAGATGGTTATGTTTATTTCTCTTATTTCTCTAGAATAAATTCTAATTTTCACTTAATTCATTTTTAATTCTTCTAGATGTTGTCCTCCAGCCTGCCCCTGCAATCACCTACCGCACCACTGGGGGCATTCTAGACTTCTATGTGTTCTTGGGAGACACTCCAGAGCAAGTTGTTCAAGAGTATCTAGAGGTAAGTGGTATCATGATCACCACCAAGGATATCCTAAGTAGCACAAGGGAAAATAAACCTAATATGGAGGTGTGACTCACAAAAATCTGCTAATAGGAATTTGTGACATTGTTGTTGTTGTTGTTGTTATGTGCCATCGAGTTGGGCCCGACTCATAGTGACCCCTCCTTGGGTTTCCAAGGCAGTATCACTATGGAAGTAGATTGCCCCATCTTCTTTCTGAGGACTGGCTAGTGGGTTTGAACCGCCAGCCTTCTGGTTAGCAGTCAAGTACCTTAGGCACTATGCTACCAGAGCTCCCTTTGTGACATTAGGGAAACCTGCTTTATAACAGTTGTATGTTTTAGAAGAAAAGTGAGAGAATTTAAGGATACTTAAACGTTACTCTACCCCCCCCCCCATGATTTTTAAAGTCTGCAGGACATTCAGACTAATATTCTAATGGTAATGAAACACTGAGTTGAAAATGGAGTATGTTTTGGGCCCTCAAAACCAATGCTTAGAAAAAGTTTTATTAAAGAATAGTGTATTTGCTAAGTTTAATTTCATGCATTTCTTTCAGCTCATTGGTCGACCAGTCCTTCCCTCATACTGGGCTCTTGGGTTTCATCTCAGCCGTTATGACTATGGAACACTCAGCAACATGAAAGAAGTTGTGGAGAGAAACCGGGCAGCAGGGCTTCCTTACGTAAGTGGTTAGTTGCCATCAAGTAGGCTCTGGCCACATGGTGACCCAAGCAAAATGGTGCCTGGTCAACATTTCTATGATATTCTGTTGTGGTCCATGGGTTTCCATTGGCTACTGTCTTCATCTGGGTGCTCCAGTGAAACCTGTCCATCATGACTGACCCTACTGGTATGTGAAATACCAATGGCATAGCTTACAGCATCACAGTAACCTGTAATCCACCACAGTATGGCAAATTGACAGACAGATGATGGGATGTAAGTTAGGCTTTTTAAAAAATCCTCCCCAAATAGGACAATAACAAAAATAAGAACAACCAATTATTTTTTCTTCCTTTAGGTTTTTTTTTTGTGTGTGTGTGTGTGATAAAAATCGTTTTGTCTATATTCAGAAAGCTAGGCATTTTTGCTTTACCAGCCATTTCTCCAAAGAACTATGGTTCATTTTATTGGGAAATAGTTTTGAGAGAACACAATCATGGGGTTAAGAGGCAATACAATTTTCTTGTGCTTACTGTCTTAATTACATTTTACATGATTTGCTTTTATTTGGGTTCTCAAGATTTCCCTCTCTAGCTCACATGGGTGATGCGAATGGCTTGTTCTGGACCACTAACTAAAAGTTCATGGTTCAAACCCACCCAGTGGCATCCCAGAAGAAAGGCCTGGTGATCTGCTTTCTTAAAGATTGCAGCCAAGAAAACCCTATGGAACTGTTCTACTTTGTAACACTCAGGGATTTCTAAGCCCCAACATCCCCATGTTAATATTGGCAACTGGAAGGATGGATTCTCCATCTCCACCCTCAGGCACCATACCAGTTCTCTGTTTTTGATGCCACTCTTCTTACCTGCTATTAACAGCTGGACATTTTCTTCTAAAGTCCTGGGGAATGAAATGATGTACCAGTTCCTTGGGCCCATTGGAGTGTGATGTGAAAGAGGGCATTTGGGCGTGGACCTGAAGGCTCCATACTCAGTTCAGTAGAGCAGTCTAGAATTGCCAAGTCGCAGTAAGCAGAAGGACACTGTCCTTGAAAGAAAATGTCTGTATGCCTTGAATGGTCCTGGAGGGAATGAGGTCCCACAAGAGACAAAAAGGAAATGATTCTCTGGCAGAATCCTCTTCCCTGTCTCTTACCCTGTTCCCGTGAAGGCAGACAATGAGGCCTCCGAGAGGGAGTACGTTGCATTCTGGCTCTTCTATTTTCATATGTGGAATCAGGGAAGAATAACACCAAAGCAGCTTGGAGTAGAAGAGAAGGAACCAAAGAAAAACGAAATGGGGGGAAGCAGGAGGAAAGAAAGGTCTTCCCCTTCACCTTGTGCTTTAGGAAATAGGAGTTTCTGACAGCCTTTGTGGCTTGTTTTAGTTGGGTGTCATGTTTGCTTGATTGGTTAGGTTTTTCATGCCAGGAACGAGGAGGCAACCAGGGTAGAATGAAGCAGTTAGCTCTGACTGCAGAGATGAGGGCTGGCCTTAGGGAACAATGGGTCATTTGCTTTTGGAATTGCTATCAATCAAGAAGCACTTGGATGCCAGGGACTAAGAACTCAGCTCAAGGCCCAGCACAAAGTGGACGTTTAGAGTGAACTGTAGAAGCTGGTTTCCGTGGATTCCTTCCCACTCAAGGTAGCCTCCTGATGTCAGTGTAGAACAGTGCTCCACAGGTTTCCAGTGGCTGAGTTTTTTGGGAGTTAATCCCTGAAATTTCTTCCAAGGCACCTACCTCTGAGTGGATTTGAACCTCTAACCTTTTGGTTAGCAGCTGAGTGCATTAACCACCCAGGTACCCCTAATGTGAATAATAAAGCTGACAATTGGACTGATAGGTTTGAGTGCATGAATTCCTAGGCACTGGATTGTGGACACTGTCTGTCTTTTCAGGATGTTCAGCATGCCGATATTGATTACATGGACCAGAGGAGGGATTTCACCTATGACCCTGTCAATTATAAAGGCTTCCCGGAGTTTGTTAAGGACTTACACAATAATGGAACGAAGTTGGTCATCATTGTGGTATGTGGTGCCCTCTCCTTCAAGTCAGGGACTTGCTGCTTCCTTGTTGTTTCACTCAACTCCCTCTCCTCAGGATCCAATTCCCAATCTCCCTTCTCGGCCTCCAGTTTAAAGCTCGTTTTTCCTCTGTGTTTCATGTCTTAGGATCCAGCCATCTCCAACAACTCTTCCTCAAGCAACCCGTACGGCCCTTATGACAGGGGCTTGGAGCAAAAGATATGGGTGAACACTTCAGATGGAGTGACTCCACTCATTGGGGAGGTGACTGAAAGGGATACCTGGGGGCTGGAGGAGGGGCCATGACAGAGTCGAGGGGGAGAGAGATGGAGAATGTGTGTGTGAAGTTTTGTTTCACATTTTCAGATGCCTTGTGTATGTTGTTGTTGTTAGGTGCCATTGACTTGGCTCCAACTCATGGCAAAGGGATGGATAAGAGAACAGAATTTTGTCTGGTGCTTGTACTTGGTGTTAGGTTTCTGCCCATTGTTGCAGCCACTGTGTCCATTCATCTCAGTGAGGGTCTTTCTTTTTCACTGACCCTGTACTTGTATATAATGGAGATAAATTGGCCTTTTCATTCCCAATTACCTGCCAACCACACTCCTTTCATGTCCAAGCCCCTTTGAAGATAGCTGACACACAGCGTCCACTTCCTCACCTCCCATTCATTCCTCAACCGACTGTCCATCTCCTGACCCACACCCCTCACTGACAGTGCTCTGGAATGACCTCCATCCAGTGACTTCCTAACTGGAAAATCCAATGGAATGGTTCCTTTCCCCATGCTACTGAATTTCTCTGCAGCATTGGACATCTTCAACCACTTCTCAAACCTTTATTTGTCCTTGTTTTCCATGAAGGTTATATCTGCTAGTCTGCACCTAATACCTCGGATGACCCTGTCCAAGAACACAGTGTTGATGAGCAGTTAGGTAGGAAAGGAACAGAGACGTGTACCTGAAGCTTAGGGCTCCCCCGGTGATAGGCAGCTGCAGCTTGCAGTGGACCCGTGCAGTACTGTCCCCACTTGACTGTTGCCAGAATTAGAAGTAGAGAAACCAGGACAGAAGGGTGAATCAGAGTTGAAGTCTGGCAAGTTAGTCCATGCCTTGATCCATGGACTCATTAATTAAGGACTTTGCCATGCATTTTTATTTTTCTTAACAATCAATTTTTCCTCAAGTGACTATTTGACTCCCCTGTAGTTTATTCTAAGCATCAGAGAGCCCCGTCGTAGGTCCTTTTCTTTGCAAAGTGTTCTATTTTACTCTATATTCATTTAATTTACTCTCATCAGTGTTTTTCTTTTTCTCCTGCAGGTCTGGCCAGGAAAAACTGTGTTTCCTGATTACACCAATCCCAAGTGTGCTGTTTGGTGGGCAAAGGAATTTGAGCTCTTCCACAGTCAACTGGAATTTGATGGGATATGGATTGTGAGTGATTATTATTTTGAAGTTATTTATTTCGTTGTTGAGCACACACACAGCAAAACATGCCCCAGAAGAACCATTTCTACGTGTACCACTCAGAGACGGTGATGTCATTCTTCGAGTTGTGCAACCATTCTCACCCTCCTTTACTGAGTTGTTCCTCCCCCATGGACATCAACCATTGCCCTCTAATGTTCTGTGTAATTGTTTGAGTTGCTATTGTCACTTTGAAGACTGTGAGTTCTTAACAATTTGATTATTCATCACCTAATACCAGTGACTAATAACCCAGTTGTTTCTGTCTATGTCTGTAGTTTTGAATCATGGAACATAAGGGGAAGATGAGGAAAGACAGGTGAGGGAAGGGAAATGCAACAATAATTCTTAGGTTTCTTTATCTTACTATTCAAATAACCTGAACAAAACATACAGCCAAGAATCAAAATCGGAATGTTAAGGCTGGAGGGAAACTCAGAAATCTAAATTATTTTCTGAGTTGAGCTCTGCTATTACAAATGACTGAATTGAAGTCAAAATAAGTCATGTACTCCTTACATTGTCCAAAGGACAAGGATTGTCCTAATTGCCAGTCCAGAAGCTTTCCACTTGGACACGTTGGACCAATTGATCAGAACCAAAGTACCCAAGTGCATCAAAAACTGTGGTTGTAGTCAGGAGAAAGGTGTTATAAAATGTTAAACAAACACAATTGCAACACAATTGATGTTCAGCAACATTTATGGAGTTGTAGAAGTGAATTTTTCTATTTATAAGAGAAAATTGTAGAAAAGTCAAACAGTGCAGAAAGCAAGAAGATCAAAACCCAGTTCCTCTAAACTGTCATCAACTGAAGACAATCACCATCAGAACTGTCGTATGTGTCTTTTCAGACCCATGGCTCTTACTGCTGTGGTGGTGTACCTGCTTTCTTTTCTGTGTGTGTACATGCATTTGTGTGTGTGTACTCATTGCTACACTTGGAGATATAGATATATAGAATCCACTATCGTGGAGTCGATTCTGACTCACAGCTCCCCTAGAGGACAGAGTAGAACTGCCCCATAGGGTTTCCAAGGCTGTCAATCTTTACGGAAGCATACTGCCTCATTTTTCTCTTGTGAAGGTACTGGTGGGTTTGAACAACTGTCTTTTTGGTTAACAGCCAAAAGCTTTAAGAACTATACCACTATATATATATATGTA